CCTCTCAAGCTCTCTGTCTCTCATTCTCTCTCTCTCTCAAATAAATAAATAAAATCTTTAAAAAAAAAAAAAAAAGACAGCGCTTACAGTCTTCCACCGTATGGACACGCCACAACTTCTTCGTCTGCTGTGTGGATGGCGGGGACCTTTGTTGTTTCCAGTTGACAACTATCATGACCAAAGCTGATATGACATGTTGTGTCTGTGCCCATCTTTCAAATGTATGTGCACGCGTTTCTTTGAGGTATGTGCCGAAAAGTGAAATTGCAGACAGGTGGTTGTACATAGAGTGACCATAAATTTCCTTTTGATCCAGATAATTCACGGTTATGCCTAGGATCATGTCCCGGCTTAATCTGTTGCCTTATACAAATATCTGATTGTCCTGGAATAGTTTATTGCAACGATTATCTCTTTTTCACGGCTCTGGACTGCCATCTTTCTGGTAAATTGTGTTCATGTATGCTATTTCTCATGCTGTCTCCCCCAGAAATCTGCTCATGCATCATCTTCCAGCTTCAATTTCCCCCCTACCCCTTTCTGGAAATATTTATTCTCTCCCTTCTAGACATCCTCATGCGAGGGGCTCACCCCTCGCTCGGTTGGGACCGAGTGGTTTTGCTGGGCGATAAGGTCCTTGAGCTGTGCCCATTCATCCCCCACCTGCCCAGCCCTTCTCCAAATTACTGAGTGAAAGGGTGTGTAATCAGCAGCCTTCACCGTAGCCGTGGGGATGCTCACCCAGCCTGACAGTCCTTCCAAGCTCTATGGAAATAGCACTTCTGGTGCCCTGTCCTGCGAATGAAGAAGGAAGCGCCGTGTCCAGGTAGGGAGCTGGGAAGCAGTCAAGCCAGGACTGAAGGCTGTTCGTGGGGCTCCAGAGCCAGCGAATGCTGTGATGAAAGTCTCACGTGGCCTTCATGAAGGTGGTGTTGGTGGAGCCCGCGGCTGTAAGCTCTCCGTTCCTACTCCTCCTTGGTCAGTCCTCGTTGTGTGATAGCAGAGCACACGAGCTGCTTGGACGGACCCTGCCTTCAGGTGGTTCCACTGCCTGACCCGCTTAGAGGTGTGCAGGTCTGTGTCCCCAGATCCCCCTGAGCCGGCTGCAGGCTGCACAAACTTCCCCTACCGTGGGGGGCAGATCTAGAGAACTTACTTTTCTCGGCTCTGTGTCAACACAGCACAACTCCCTGCTTCCTCTCCTTGGAACTCCATTTCATTTCTTATTGTGTTCAAATTTCCTGCTTTTGTGTAGGGATTCCCCTATTTCTGAGCAAGCCCTTACTTTTTCCTTAGCTCTCTTGCTGCTTAGCCACCGTGCACATGCATAGCAGGAGAGCTCCCCGCCCCCTCCCCCCAGAGCTGCTAAGCCTGGAAACTCAGAAGCTCCCCTAAGGGACAGAGAAGTGCAGCTGAGGGGCCTCCCCAGGCTGGCAGCTGCATCGACCGCCATCCTGATGGCACCTTCTAGAATCTACCCTAGCATTCCGGGATGATCGCCTCAACCGGACCTCAGCCTTGTTGGAATAGATGGACTGAACTTCAGAGAATAAATTTACTTTGAATTCCTTACACAGACAAGCTTTCAGAAGGCTCATTTGCTAATCTTATCTGGAAATCAGAAGGCTCTTTTTCCGTTGAAACTGTGGTATCGGGATGGTTAGGTCCACAGACGTCTGTCTAATACAGCCTCAAATAAAGGACCATTTCAATGAAAAAATGCAGTGAACAACACGGTCTCATCACTAGTAATTATGCAAATTTAAAAACGCACCCCAGTGAAATTTGGTACAGAACCATGTCGGCTGTGGAAGGCAGTGAACATGAACGTAGACGTTTATGGGGATATTAAGTGGGAATGCTCAACATTTTAAAGAGCTTTATAGAAATGTAACATACCTGGTTTCACTTAAAGCAGGCCTTACTTTGTCTTGAGCACATGAACTGATAGAACCCCTTCACCGTATCCACCAAAGATCAATCACGGTATCGTCAGGTTTTAGCTTTGAGGTTTAGTAAATATTCTATTACCCACTAGCGAGTTGGAAAGACTGGATCCAAGTGCTTCTCGAATCTTCATTCCATTCAGTCTTCATAATAACCTCATAGATGCTTCTGTTATCACCTCCATTTTGCATGTGGGGAAACTGAGGCACAGAACAGTTAAGCTGCTTATCCAAAGCCACGTGGCAAGCAAGCGGGGAGGATGGGCTGTGCACTGAGCCAGTAGGCTCACCATCCCTCAAGCTGCACAGCCCCCGTGGATGGCTTCAGAGAGTGAAGGGCTTTGAGAAACAAAGGACAGGACAAGACAGGGTCCTGGGGTCATTGGGGAGCAGGACTGCTTCAGAGGCAAGGTCTCTCGTGAGGCTAGAATGAAGACAGGGCACAGCAGGTGATGGCCCAGGGGACGGGCTTCTCAAGGATGGACAGCCAGGGCCAACTATGTCCCCCAGGGACCCGAGCCCCCCACCTCCCCTGAAACTCAGCCTTTCCCTTCTCCCTCGGCCTTTCACACGCGGGAGCCCATGCAGAAGGATATGACAGCATTTGTACATTTGGGGACTTGCCGAGATCTCGGGCAACACCCTAGCCAAGAGTCCATGAGATGGGAAAAGCAGATAGGGGTTTGGGCAGAAGAGATGCGAGAGTTCTATATTAGTCAAAGTCCCTCAGAGAAACAGAACCAGTAGGAGAAAGATTATAGACAGACAGACACCTAGAAGAGGGCAGAAAAGCAGGTGGTACAACTCAGTCCAAGTCCGAAGACCCGAGAACCCAGAGCACCAACGCCCTAGTGCAGGAGAAGACGGGGCACCCTAGCTCAGGCCGAGAGCCCATGCCTCCTTCCTCCATCTCTTTGTGCCAGTCGGGCCCTCCTGGGAGGGGGTGAGGGGCATCTTCTTCCCTTGGTCTGCAGCTTCAAGTGCCGATCTCCTCCAGGAACACCCTCAGACTTACCCAGCTCTCCAGTCAGCCCTTGGTCTGGTGGAATCGACAAACACAATCATCCATCACAGGTTCCTAAGCCTGGGAGAAACTCAGCAAAGTTTAGGGACCAGAAAGACCAGAGGAACTGTGGGCACCGAAGGAGATGGAGAAAGAGATAGAGACAGAGAGGGAGACAGAGAGAGGGAGAGAGTGAGGGAGACAGAGAGAAGAGACAGAGGACAGAGAGACAGAGGATAGAGAGACAGAGACAGAGACAGAGGACAGAGAGACAGAGGACAGAGAGGACAGAAAGACAGAGGACGGAGAGACAGAGACAGGGGCCAGGTCATGCAATTATTTCTCATTTCCATGGAGTGTCACTGGCTGATTGACGCAGGGGAATAACAGGACCTGACCCTGAGTAACAGTTTAGAAAGATCCCTCCGGGAGGGGAGGAAAGCCCCTCGGGCTGCCCGTGTTGTCCCTGCACTTGGGACAGGTGCTCTCCCTGCCCAGCCCTTTAGCTCAGGGAGTGAGAGGCAAAGTCAGCACAGCGGGTCCTCTCGCTATGCGTAAATTTAACTCAGTGTCCACGTGGAAACTCTGGGATGACTTTACAGCCCGCGCTCTATATATCGCTCGTTTAAAAGAGCATATTTGACTCTGTGCCATATTGGTAACGTGGAAAAACATCTACTTCTATGTTAGTTTCCCAACACATTCCAGTGCATTTGATGTGGGATTTGGCTTCCACAGGGGGAAGTTAAATAGTGATTTCCGTGTGTTCTTTCCAATCTTAGAAGAAAACAATGAGCGTTAGTTCCAAAATGAGAGGACAATTAAACCTGGCAGGAAACGGAGGCCATTCTTGATGTAGTCTCCATATGCTGTCTTGATTTTTACTCCATAAATGTTCAATTCTGTCACTATGAAACCCATCACCAACGTGTATTTCAGAGCCATGAGGTGGCCCCACAACGTGTGCCTCCTGGTTGGAATTGCTCTGCATGCGAAGCATGCCCACATGCCCACCAAGCATGCTACATACTTTCCAAATGGACATTCACTAAACATCATGAGGAAGGAGGGAAATCCCAAGTCACAAAGTTCCCAGTCTCCATCTCCAGTGCTCTCCTTGGCTCATAGCATCTGTGGTTGTAATCACGTTCAAGCAGTGGTGATCTTTACCGAGCTATCAGGCAGCCCACATTGATCTTAAATTCTAAGAGGGCTGAGAGCCTGAGGAGGTGGGTGAGAGCGTGCTGTGGGTATTTGTAGCTTCCGTTGAGAGGATGTTCTTCCTGAACTCCCCAGAAACGACATCATACAGTCTCCTGTGTCCGGCTCCTGCTAACTTTGCCTCCAGAAAAAAACCGCAGGATTCAAGAGTGTTTTCTAACCTGCGGGGTGCTAGGCTGCGATCACCTCATTTAACGATCACTGATGATGTAGCTATTTATTTATTTGTTTGTTTGTTAAAGATTTTATTTATCTATTTTTTTAGAGAGAGAGAGCGAACAGGGGGAGGGGCAGAGGGAGAGAGAGTCTCAAGCAGACTCCCCACTGAGTACAGAGCCAGGCACGGGGCTCGATCCTATGACCCTGAGATCATGACCTGAGCCAAAACCAAGAGTTGGTTGCTTAACCGACTGAGCCACCCAGGCGCCCCACTGATGGTGGTGTTGTTACCACCCCTCTGGGAATTGTATAGGTGAGGATGACGATGGGGAAGAAGGTCAGAGCCAGCCTAAGTCCACACGGCCATTGTACAGAGGACCTGGGATTTGAACCCAGCCAAGCCGACTTCAGAGACTGGATTCCTAGCCCCTACTTTACTCTGCATCTTTTAACACCCTTCCAACAGAAGAATGACTTCTCCAAGACCAGCCATCCGGACATAGCTCTGAGCCAGCCCTGATGAGCCCCTTCTCTTGGGCAGAGCTGCCTGCTGGGGAACCAGAGGCCCTAATGTACTCCCCCGCGTGGCATCTACAAGCCCCACCTATCTGGTTTGGATGTGGTTTCACTACTTGCTGTTCCCCGAGGCCATGTAAACACAGGATGGGGACAGAAACAAGCCACCCAGGGGCCAGTTCCCAGACCCAAGACAGAGTTTGAGAGGACCTGCACTTTCCCCAGCGGGTTCTAGATTTTCGGAGCGCTCAGACCCACATGTGGCCAGAAGAGCAGAGAAAGCTGTCATAGGGATTTTCTTTGGTTTGATTTGTGTTTGTTTAGGGCCAATGAGAAACTGAGGACTGTGAATGTCTCTGTGTCCTAAGAGAAGCACACCAACTTTGTGACCGAGTCCTCGCAAGGGGCAGTGTGATCTCCTCAAACGGCCTGTGCCCAGGGAGCTGGGGAGGCAGCGAGACCAGCTGAGAGTGGCCCGGGGGGAGCCCCCTGCATTCCTGGCCCGGCCCACTCCTCACAGGGAGTGCCAGGCCCCGGGCTAGGGCACTCCTGTGCTAAGAGCGTTGCTGACCTGAGCCTCAGCCTCCTCATCTGTAAAATGGGCACAATGGCAAAAGCAGCCTCTGCCCCGGGCCCAGCTCACAGACAGACTCCACATACGTCAGGAAGTCACCTGTTTCTGCTCAAGTGACAACACAGGAAGGAAATGTGTGAAACACGCTTGCTCGCTGTCATTTTTATGAGCTTGCCCTTAGCTGTCCTGAGCAGTGTCTGCTGGCTCGGGAGGGGCTATGGAGCTGTAGGGCTTTGAAGAGAGGCTGCTTTGGGCAGGAGAACGCTGGATGGTTGTCCCGGCCCCCTTTCACTGATCGAAGGCTATTTAGTACGACCTGGAACAACTGAGGGTGTCAGGGTCTTCATCTACAAACCCAGGATAAAGATAAGCAAGCTAGGAGGACCGAATGGGATAAAGTAGGCAGCTCTCTTGGCCCAACTCCCTAGTAAACACTCAACAACTCAAGTTTATTACTTTCATTTTTATGATTATCACCTGCAGGTAGGTTTGGGGAGACAACTTAAAGGGCATTTTGCTTCAACCATGAGAAAGGGGAGGGCCAGCTACAGTCGCTTATGTGGGGACACCAATGCCCGGCAGGCTCCAGGAGCCCCAGAGGGGAAAGGTCTGGCCTCCCTCTCCGACCACCGCCTCACCCTACTGCCCCCGACGAGACCCCAGGACACTCTGCACCCTTTCCGTGCCAGGCAAACGTGAAGAACGAGTTTTCATTTTTCCATCTTTGGTTTGGATCTAGGAATGTGGATCTGTACTATGGTTCTCACGTGCTAGTGCTAATCAGAACCCCTTAGAAAGATTTTTTAGGACTACAAATCATTGGGGTTTTACTGCAGAGATTCCAACCGAGTGGGTCTGGGGTGGAGCCCAGGACTTGCATTTAAACCAGCACACCAGTAATTCCGAGATTGCATGGAAAACATGGGCCTCAGGATGGAAACCACATGGCATCCTTGGCCTGGCTTTAGACAGACAGAAATCCGGAGTCCTCAGCCGGCATTCCTGAGAACTTCCAGGGCACCAGCTCTGTGCCAAGTGGGGCTTTAGACACAGTGTGTCATTTAATCCCCAGGACAAACCATGACAGGGCTTCCCACTCTGGGTGACATGAAAACACAGGCCTCACATCCAGAGCTGGCCCCCCCACC